GGGTCTTCTGGGAATCAAGACGATAGAGGTAGCCGTGAAAGAATCCGGCATCCGGTGACCGGTGAAGAAATCCAATACCGCCTTCTCAACATCAGGCTCGACTATATCCCAACAGACCTGATAGAAGAGGGTAGAGAACCCATCGGGGCCAGAAACGCTGTTGGGATCAATCCCAAAAACAACATCTCTAACCTCCTCCCTGCTCGGAAGCTCACATAGGTCGACCGAAGGAGGGATGGTGGGGAAGAAAGAGACGATCGGGGCAACGAGGGACCCTCTGCCAGAGGTGAAGAGGGTCTGGAAGTGAGCAACAGCCGACTCCTGAATCTGAGACTCCTGGGTCAGGGATGATCCATCAGCCTCAATACTATGGATGTACGACTTAGCACGCTTCTGCCTAACGAAGCCCTGGAAGAACCTAGTATTCCGCTCGCCCTATAGCTAGGTTAGTTATTATACGTTGCTAGGTTAGTTATATCTAGTTGCAAAGTCAGTTTAACTCACATGCTACTAGAAAGCATACATTACATATAAATTAGAGTCAAGTCAAGAGAAATGTTTGCGTATCTGTTAGTGTTGTAGGTTGCGTCAAATGAAACAACAGCTCCAAACATGAGGTAATTTTTTCTTGAAATCTGGTCAACCCAAAAGTTCCTGCTTAATTGATTATTTTCATCCATAGCATATTCAAATGCAATGTCCGGGTAAACTTCATGCTTGTTGAGAAATTTCTGAATGATGAGTTGTGCATCTGCCCCCGACATGTAAGTCATAAGTTCTCTATTGAAGTTTTTGAAATCAATTGCCAGAGCACCAACATTTTCATATCCTCCAACCATTTCCTTGTATAACCTGTGTGTTTTAGCAGGTCCGATGTTGGCCTTTACACAATTAAGGACAAACTTCTGATGGTCATAGTTCAGTTGCCTGTTTGCATTCAAATAATGTGCTTCCAACGTCAAACTGTGGCTGTGTTTCTCTTCGAAATATGTAATTTTGTATCCTTTTCCATCATCGTATTCAAACACTGCCCGAGCCATGCAACCAATTCTTTTTGAAACACGTTCTCGATGAACTCCTTTTGAATTTTTGGGTCTGGATTGTAGTTTAAATCCTTCCTTGTTGTAAACTATGAATTGTTTCCTCACCATCCCACTTCTAAAACGTTTTTTTGTACTAGTACGAACATCAAATCCACCATTTTCTCCATAGTTTCTGTAATATTGCATTCCAATTTCTAGATTCTCAAAGAGCATGCCAACTTCAGGTCTTACATCTTCTTTGACAATTGGTATCCAGTACTTTGTTGAATTTGGTGATATCACCAATTGAAATTGACATCCATCATGTGTAATACCTGTTGCAAAATATCATACAAAAACATTAGCCTTAATAATTACAAATGCAAGGTTATTTGTATCGTGTTCCAATGTTAGTTGTATGTTTGCTGCTAGGATAGTTATATCTATTTGCAAGTTTATATGTCTCTTGTTGCTAGGCCAGTTGTCTCTTGTTGCTAGGTTTGTTATATTTATTTGCTAGGATAGTTCTCTAATGCTGCTAGTTTAGTTGTATGTAGTTGCTAGGTTAGTTCTCTCATGCTGCTAGGTTAGTTCTCTCATGCTACTAGGTTAGTTCTCTCATGCAGCTAGGTTAGTTCTCTCATGCTGCTAGGTTACTTCTCTCAGACTGCTAGGTTATTTGCTGCTAGGTTACTTCTCTCAGGCTGCTAGGTTAGTTCTCTCATGCTGCTAGGTTACTTCTCTCAGGCTGCTAGGTTAGTTGTATGTAGGTGTTGTGTTCGTTTTATGTGTTTACTGCTGCTAGCTAGGTTAGAACTCTGATTCTGCTAGGTTAGTTGTCTGATGCTGCTAGGTGTTAGTTATATCATGAATCAAAATTCCAGAATAACATGAACAATTTATTCAACATTATCAGCAACATTATATAATTTGAACAACTGCATCAACATTATATAATATTCATGCCAGAAAACAGAGATTCTACAAAAATCAAAACTGCAGATAATGGCGCAACTGGATCAAAAAATAAAAAATCAAAACTGCATCAGCACCTATTTTATTTAAATTTTGATGAATCAATTTGGAAAAAATTAAAGTCAGTATACCTTCTTCCATTAATGGCGCAACTGGAGTTGCTTCGATCTCCATTGAAGCTACTTCGGTCGACATTGTAGATAAATTTGATGAAATCGACTTTTTTTTCCCTGGATATTTTTGACGAGCAGTTGAGTTTGCCTATCGAATCAATAGAAAACGAGAGTTAAACCTAATCAGACGATGAAATCGAACTTCAAATTGATAAGGAAATCGAGATTGAGAAAGAAATCGCAGAGAATCGTGATTGAGGAGAAAATCTGAGATATTATTTCCGATTTTGTGTGCGAGCGAGCTGAAGGTTTGTGATTTTTCAGCTCGTGATTTTATAATTATATATATACCTGATGCTGACCGTAGATTTAAAAGGCAGATTCAACGGTTGAGATTGGGTCTCACGTCCACATTTTAAGAGGTGGACCCATTGGATCCGTCCCCTATATATATATATATATATATATATATATATATATATATCATTAAGCTCATGGGATTGAAGAAAAGAGAAAAAGAGCAGAAAACCTAACGTGCATTACGTGTAGGCCGCCCCTTCATTCTCTCTCTCTCTCTAGTTCCCATAGTCGAGCTTTATCTTCTTGTTGTTGCTCCATCGGTACAATACGAATAGGTGTTGGAGATATACAGTAGAAGATCCCGAGGTACCGAGACCCCATGATCAATATATGTTCGTCAACCCCGAAAGCCGCACGCCGACCACTGCCCACCACCGTCGACGATAGTCCATGATCGCCGATGACCACCACACGCCGACCGCGAGACGCCGCAGCCCAGCCGCACATGAGCCGTAGCTAACGTCGCGACCCGACGGATTTTGAGATCAGACGATTTCCTTCAATGGTAATCTACAACGTCTCAGAGTCTACAAATGTTAAGTTGTAATTATTCAACTCTAAACCCCTAGATCACCTGCACATAGTTTTATTGTTGCTATTGAAATCGTGACTTATACATAACGAGATCCTCACCGATCCAAACAGGAACATTTGTGTTGTTGCCTTGGAATTATGTTGAAACCCTTTGTTTGTGATGTTATTGTGATACCTTGGCACCCTTGAAATTGTAGAAATAAATTATTGAGTTGAAATCTTAAATTGTGCCTTGAGAGTGTTGTTAAACCTTTGAACCGAGAGCCAAACCTTGGTCGGGCTTAGCCACGCAGGTGGTGGCCGACCACGCATGAGCCACGGGCGGGGCCGACTGTGGACTCGCATGAGATCTGCAGCTAACATCATCGAACGCACGAGCTCCCTGGGCCAGCGAGTACGGCCGAATCTTAACCCGCAGCGAGTTTTCAAGTAGGTGCGTGCGAGCACGTCCCAGTGCTCCGCGTCAGCAGCGCCAGCGAGCGCACCGTCTCTCGGATGACACCGCAGCACGACCCGTGCCCAGACGCGGCTAAGTCGACCCGCAGCTAGCCGGTCTCACCGAAGTGCAAAGGCAACAAGCGTGTAGACGCTGTTCCAGCCGCAGTGTGCGACCGGTGTCAGCACAGTGTGACTAGAGCCAGCACTATCCCGTGAGCCTAACCGAGTAGCAGAACCACTTTTGAACTGTGTGAACCATTTTTCCTGCGGAACCTTATTTTTAGTCGCGAGAACCTTTTCCGAGGATTTTTCAGAGAGTTTCGAGTTCCACTGATTTGTTTGAAGTGCTTAATCAATAAAGTTGTTGATTACATTTAATTTAAAATTTTTTCAGTTTAAGGGCAAGTTATTATAAGATTATTATTGCCTTAAATTGTAGATTTCAAGGAGTTGACCTCGAGCGACTGTGTGCAGTATCTCTAATTCAGCATCATCCGGACCAGGTGGGTGTTGATTAATACTATGCTTTTATTCTTTATAATCCCGTAGGCCATAACTAAGATATGTATATGACTATGTGCTACATGATGAACTTGACTATGGGAATCCGACTGGGTGAAATTGGACAGTGTGATATGAATATGACTGCGTGAAAAAAGTACTGAGAGGTGTGGTGCTATGAGAAGCCTTGACTGTGTAGCACCTTCGATACGAGATTACTGAGAGGTGTGGTGCTATGACAAGCATTGACTGTATGGCACCACCGAAATTATTGAGAGGTGCGGTGGTTTGAGAAACATTGACTATATGGCACCTCCGGTGTGATCTCACGTCGTTGAGCGCCTAGGGACTATGTGATGGAGGGCCAGCGGTAAAAGTGTGTTCACATGAGATGAGTTGACGAGAAGAGCAGTCGAAACATGTGTGATCTATGTGATAAATTTGTACAATTATGAGCTATGTGATAAATCACAGTTATGAGCTATGTGATAAATCTGTATGGTTATGAGCTATGTGATAAATCTGTACAATTGTGATCTATGTGATAAATCTGTACAGGTATGAGTTATGTGATAAATCTGTACAGTTTAGATCTATGTGATAAATCTGTACATTTATGAGTTTTATAATAAATTAGTACAGTTGTGATTCATGTGGTTAATCTTTGTGGTTGATCTATGTGGTTTATCTATGCGAGTCATTACATATTGAAGTTATGTCACCTATTATTATAATGAATATATTGCATAGTTCACATGGTGAGCTTGTATTTGCTCATCCCCATACATTAACATTTTTCAGGACAAGTAGCTAGTGGTGATCACGAGGAGACGAGGGTGGTCATAGTTGTTTATCAAATGTTTTTACTTACGCATTAAGTTATTTAACTTTGTGTATTTTTGCGAAAGGATTTCAACTGCGTTTCATTTCTTTGTGAAAGAGAGTTTATTTTTTACTCGAGTTTTATAAAGGAGTTTTTGAGTAACGTCCAAAAGAGTTTTAACTTGAAAATGTTTTTGAATAATATAACTTTAATTTTAGAAATTGAATATTTTCCTTAAAATTTGCATTACACTCTCGATACTTGAGATTAATAACTACACATCCAAGATAATGCATATGATGATTAGGATTGATTCGACGTGCTCCACAGACATTTTCGTATACGCGGAGGTCGAGTATTTGGCCTTGGTTCGTAAAGACTTATCTCTTCTCTTGGTGGTTGTTGAAATCCGTGCTTGGTTTCACAAGAACTCGGCCACGAGAATTTATTTGACCCGCCTCTCTTATGTTCTACCATCTCGTTTACTCTTAGAAAATACAAAAGCATGGCATCACCCGCTCGCACATGTTCAACTTATATAATTTATTATTATTAAGTTACATCACCCGCACGGACATGTTAAAGAGTAGCGAGCTAGAAGTAATAATACCTGCGCCGATATTATAAATATGGTGTGAGATGACATTGAGTGAGCCGACTGTTTTATCAATAAATTGGGTGTACCAGTTCTTGTCATAGAATCCTCCGGGTGCCATCACTAGTGGTGTCTTCATCGTAACATTCTTGTATAAATCTTTTATTAATTGGTGTAGAGCAATGGTATCATAGGCATACTCAACAACATCAATTTCCACTCCTATTTCATTGTCTCCACTCAACTCGTTACCTGAGAATCAACGAAACAGTAAAACAGACAAAATAAGGAGGGAAAGTATGATGTATGACCAATTTTTTTAGTCTTTTCTTTAATTTCACGTTTTTTTCTAATTTTGTGTTATTCAATTAATAATGCAATTGCAGAGAAACTAAGAAAAAGGGTCCTTTGTGGCAATGATTCTGGCTTTGACTTTTCCACAAAAATTATCATTTTCTTTTTGTTCTGCTTACATATCCGCCAAGCATTACACTTCCATTTTGAATTTCTTAGCCATCTATCTCTACTCTACACTACCCTCTTTTTGACTTGTGCAACACTGAAAAAATTTCGTTCTTATCTTTAGTCTAGCCATCTTTTGTCTTATGCTAATTTCATTGGAAAAAAACGCTCATTATAAAAAAATGTTTGAATATAGTTTATGAATAATGAACACTTTAAGAAAAAATCTTTAGTGAGATAAGGATGTGAAATATTTCATATTTTGTGAGTATTAATAAGTACCCGTAAATATCAACATGATCTTACTGGCTTCAATTTTTCAGTAGAATTGTCAAGTAAAACACAACTACTGGTTATTAACTTCCCTATAAATTATACTAATTATAAAACAGTCAACTTTAACAATGATATCCCTCTATCGTTCCGTAGAAAAAAAAAAATGATATTTCCCTTCTAAAAACACTAATCACATTTTTGCATATCTTTTTTGTTTCTCCAAAAAATTATTTCCACACCACCTTATGTGATGAATTAAAAATTTTCAGTGAAAGAGATGAACACACCCCTTTCTCTAAAAGTGAAATATTGTGCTAACACGATTATGCATAGAAATTGGAGAATGTTGATACATACCAAATTCCCAACCATAGATATTCTTGTAACCCTTTTCAATTGTGTATTGTATAAGAGATGCAGCATTCATGAAATGCCAAAGGCCGGTTGCCTTATTGTTGTATATTGTTTTTCTACGAAGAGCATTTAATCCGAAGATAACGAGAGCACTGTGATTCGAAGAAGAACAAGAATGAGCTTAAAATCAATACCGGTACGTTGCATATAATAAGTTTAAATTTACAAGTACAACTGAATGATTTTACCCAGATTTGGCGAAAAACAAATTTAGCTCGTCCCATCTACTCACCGAAAGGCATCCTTCTGTGAAACCAAACATCTCCAATGCATCTTTTTTGAAAGGAAAGCATTTTCTCTGGTTGTGTGTAGTCTGATAGAAAACTTTGTTTTGCAAAGTGCCACCCAACTTGATCTTCAATGGTGAAAACGCTGCACGATTTTATTATTATTTTATGATCATCTTCTACCCGAAAATAGAATAATTATTTCACGATCAATGCCAGAATGTACACTACCTTTAACCGCGTTAAAGAAGATTGAGTTATTGAGATCCTGTATTAATAAAGACGCCCCAACAACATTGAGTACAAAAGTTGCAATACATATATAAATTAATTAGTAGATCATACTATGAGATCAAAATTAAAATATATAAATAAATTCAGATCGAGCAACCAGTTTTAATTTATTCATGTGTTACATACAAAGAGATAAATTAATTAATGCATATAAACAGGAAAGAGAGAAAGGGAGAGTTACACATAAAGAGAAAAAGTAATTCATATAAACATGAAAGAGAGAAATGGAGGGAGAAGAGAGAACCACATTAAGCAAAGAAGCAGATCCCCAACTACATTTTCCATAATCACACTTTTCAGGAGGCCACCAATCCAACGTGGCACATATGAAATCTTCATCTGTCCACGAAATTTGGATCGCATCATCGATCAAAACGACACCGTCTTCAACAAAAGTAGAACTAAACCCGCAACACACGACATAAACCCACACCCACAGACACACCCACCGCCTCTGTGAAAACAATGTAACCCATCCTATATGTAAATATTATTCTGTAATTAGGCCACTAAAATGATTCATGCAAAATGTACAAGGAAAACGACAAGAAATAATGGAGAAGAATTTTAAATGGCAGGTTAAATGAGAGTTTTACATAATAGTTGTAAGAGGAATAAAGCGGCATAGTTTACACATAGGCTCTGACAAGTCAGAATTCTAGAATTTTATTAATAAAAGAAAGAACTACTTTCACCCCGGTATAAAGACCGGAATAGATTTTACATACCGTCAAATAATAAATTAATTTTTTCACCTTATAAAGTGCTAAATAAATTATATAATAAGCTATGCGACTGACAGGCGAAAAGAATTGATAAAATGTGAAACAATTATGCAAATTAAAAAGAAAATAAATGATAAAGTGCAAAATTTATACAATCAACTATGCTACAAACGAGTGAACATAATTTATAAAGTGTGAAACAGTTATGCTATAAATTATGCGACAGACCGAAGATAATTAATAAAGTGCAAAACAGTCTTGCCAACAGATATGCGATAGACAAAAAAATGAATGTCGGACAGGATTTTTTGAAATGTTTCATGGCACTCGTGTTATCACAAAAAAATTGAACCGAATGTACCCTCATACCATATTTAGAGAGAATTTGTTTCGTCCAGATGAGTTGAGAGCAACAACTCCAGCTGCTATGTATTCGGCTTCAACAGAGAGAGAGAATTTTGCTTTTTGCAAAACCATGGCACAAGATTAGTTCCTATGTAAAAACAACCACCAGAGGTGCTTTTCGTTAATCTAAGTTCCCAGCCCAATCCGCATCACAATATCCTGCAAGACTCAAGTTCGTATCAGCATAATAGAAAATCTCGTAATCCAATGTACCTCCCACATATTTAATGATGTGCTTAACAACCTTCAAGTGGGATTCCTTGGGATCATACTAATATCTAGCAAAAAGTCCAACACTAAAACAAATGTCAGATCTACTAGTCATACTCCGGTAAAGAGTTTGATCAACAAATATACCTTCATCGTCCTTGGACACTTTTACATGAGTACCCATAAGAGTCTAAAGAATTTTTGCATTTTCAATACTAAACTTTTTAACAAGATTTTTAGCATATTTACTTTGATGCAAGAAGATACCACATTTACCTTGCTTTTATTGAAGTCCTAGAAAATATGAAAGTTCACCACCAGACTCATTTCGAACTCTAAGGACATGAGTTTGACGAAGTGATTAACCAGTTTCTTTGATGTTGATCCGAAGATGATGTCAACATAGATCTGAACTACCAGAAGATCGTCATTTGTTCTGAGTGCAAACAAAGTCTGATCAACTCCCCCTCGCTTGAACCCCATCTCAAGTATGTACCTAGTGAGATGTTCATACCAGGCTCGGGGTGCTTGCTTCGGTCCATATAGTGACTTCTTGAGTTTGTACACATGATTAAGTACCCTAGGATCCTTGAACCCTTCATGTTGTTTCACGTATGCTTCTTCATGCAGGATTCCATTGAGAAAGGCTGATTTCAGGTCTATCTGATACACAATGAACTTTATTAGACATACTATTAACAAAAATATACGTACCGATTCATGTTTGGCTACTGGAGCAAAGGTTTTATCGAAGTCAACTCCTTGAGTCTGAGTGTATTCTTGAGCAACTAGTCTAGCCTTGTTTCTGGTAGTGTTCCCAAACTCGTCTGTATTATTCTTGAAGATCGATTTTGTTCCGATAAACGTTCCCTGATGTAGGTTCAGGTACTAATTCCCAGACGTCATTCTTAGTGAACTTTTCCAGTTTTTCTTGTATAGCAATGAGCTAACACTCATCTTTCAGTGATTCTTTGGCATTCTTTGGCTCTACTAGAGATGTGTAACAAACAAAGTGGGAAATTCCTGTGAGTTCATTAACATTAGTTTTTGAATTTCTTGTTACCCTCTCGTACAAGTCGCCAATCACCAAATCAGAAGGATGATCTTTCTGTAGCCTTAGGGGAGGATCATTTTTGGTTTCAGTCAGATTTCCTGATGATGCAGGTACATGATATTCCTAGTGGATCTCCTGCACACATCCAGTTTCACATGAACGTTCATTTTCCTTGAGTTCTGACGTACTCTCAACTTTATCTTCCTAAGAACTCACAACATTATTCGACATATCAACAAACACAGAAAAAAAAATATTTTTTTTGTCCTATGACCGACTATAGCTGGTCACTATGCCTACGTGTAAATTCATTTAGTTTTTTCCTTTTTTATGATAATGTGGATGCCTACTTGTAATTTCATTTGATTTTTTTTTTTTTTTGAATAAGTAACTTGTTATAATTTGTGTATAAACTATATATATACTCTTTTATGATTTTTTTATTGATTTGTTGTGTATATGTATGGTTTATTTTTTAGTAAAATTGTTTACAAAGCATAAAAGTAAATAAACAATACGTAAATAAATAATTACTAAATAAATAAATATATTAAATTATATAAATAAATATATTAAATTATTGGATATTAGTTAACATATTTAAAACTATATAACAATATAAATAATTAAATAACATATTCGATAAATAAATTATGTTTAATTTTTATATTTAAAAGTCGTATAATTTGAATTATTATTTAATACCACTTTTAATTATACTATTTTTTTTTTTATCTTGTTCTATCTAACTTTTATTCTAATTTATGTTATTTTTTATACTAATTTACCTTATTCAATTCTAATTAAATTTTATTTGTATATTAAATAAATATTTAATAAATGAACAGATATTTTAAAAAATGTAATATAAATATATATATAATAAATATTTTTATTTAAATAAAAATATTAGATAACATATTATATGTAATGCTCTGATCTTTTTACTATATATGGGCTTGACTTTAGTTACAGAAATGACAAGTTTTATTTATTCCAAGTTCTATTTATTTTCAAGCATTAATTTAATTTATAAATCCTAAGTCTAAGCCAAGGAAGATCCGTTCGATTTTTATTTCCGGAATCGAATTTAGTTTAGCCCAAGTATCGGTTTCAATTTTACCTTAGAAAAATGGTCGTGAACTTGGCCATTTTTCTTCCTAATCGAGACTAAGAGAAATTGGCAAAATTATTTTATAAGGGCCGAAGCCCCGGCCGAACCCAGGCCCGGCACAAGTAGCAGTCGTGTACGACCCAAGGCCCAGTAACGCCTATTTACGCAAGTCCCAGTAGCTTCCAGCACCTAGCACGTTGCCCAGTGCCGCGGCCCACCAGCTGCCGCGTGCACAGCCCAACAGGCCCAATGGCGGGCACTTAATTCCGAGCCCAACTCTTGGGCATATTAGACCCAATCCTACTTTAGTCCATTGACCCAACACATAAAACATTAGGGTTTGACCTTTCTCTTCAAGATTAAAATTTGCATTTAATGCTCACCTACCAAGTATGTACTATAGGAGACCAAGTCTAGTAAAAAGTAGAAAAATCTAAATTTTTCCTCCAACCTTGTCCCCCAACCCTAGTTATATAAAAGAGAGCACACCACCATTAGTCTTCATTTTTCCCAGCACCTTAAGCACTCGAAATATTGTCTACGTCCCAAAATCCCTTAGCCACCACACAAATAAATATTAGGCCACCCCTTAAAGCCGAGCACCACCCGACGACCCGAGCTCTTCCCTTCCACACACCGTTCGAGCTCCTAGCCACCCGCACGTTCGAGGGCCAGCTCCCAGATCTGTAGCAGCAGCCCCATATTTGCACCACAGCCAACTAGCTCAACAGCTCCCAAATGCACTCGCACCTGAGCCAAGGCCACTGCATGCGTCCATGCCCTATCCATCTTTCTATTTTACGTTTTTGAGTCCTGAAGAAGGTAGGCTCCCCAAAACTCCCTCCTATTGCTTAGATCTGATTTATAAAGTATTTATAAATTATAAAAACAAGAGAAACGGGGTAGAAATGACAGATCTATATTTATTGCTATTATATGCTTGATATTTGTATCTTGAGATGTTCAAGTGCTAAAATTGTGATTTAAAACCTAAAATCTTAGAATATTGCGTAGAGGCTGTGGTTCAAATTTTGGAATTTTTGGACTTTGTTTTCTATGTAAACTAGAAATCTGGATCTAGATTTAAAATGGTCATTTTATGTAAAATGAGATAGAGATCTATTGTTGTTGAGATCTTTTGTCTATAAATTGTAAATATTATATTGAGGTCGTGTTTAAAATTTGAGGATTTTTGGAAGTCATTTTATAGGGATTTTTTAGTCATTGTATGAGTGAACCCTTGCTGAGATTTTGACGTCTAAAATCCTCATAAAAATATGTTGTGTTCATGTCTAATGTTTCAGCTTAAAATGAGTTAGGTTGCTCAGAAAATTAGAATCCTAGATCGACCCATTTTTTAATGCCGAGTAATTTAAAAATGCAAGAATATTCTTTCGAGTGTTGTCGAATGTCGCTCGGCTCGGAGCAGCGCACGCTCGCGAGTTTCCAGCGCGCATTGCAGAACAGCCAGCGCGTCACCCCGCACACCTCTGTCGCGTCCTGTCGCTGTAAGCCACCTTAGCGCGTCACCAGCATGCGCCCGCAGCGCGCACTTCCTGTCGCAGCCGCACCGAGGCCGAGGGCGTGCCCCTGCATCGAGTCTGACCGAGCCGTGACCCTACGCTTTGCCCAGTTATCGCGTCTTCCTACCAGTTGTACCCTGCGCCCCCAGTACCACTTTTTTGCGTCCAGCCACCACACCACAGCGAGCATGTCATGTCTCCAGCGCACCAGCGTTGCAAGAAACCCCATGCGCCGGTGAGGCCGCGCCCAGTGAGTCGGCGCGCGTGTTGCAACCGTCCATGCCAGCCTGACTCCGCGCGACCGAGCCAGGCTGCATCAAGCCACCGACCGGTTCACAAGTGAGCCGCTAGTTCAGCCGTACTGGTCTGGGCAAACCCGGACGATACAAGAAATTCTGGTTCGAGTTCCAAAGCAAGTCAGAACTTAAGCATTTTTCTGAGCCGAGTTAGTCCAAGTTTAAGTCAGAAAATTAGTTCCAGGTTTAGAAGATTATCCGAGAACCTTAGACATGCTCAAGATAGAAATTGTTTATCTTAGCTCCTTAATTTCTTTATTTCGGCAAGATGTTATAGTTAAACAAGAAAATGAGTTTTAAATGTTTTTAAAACCGAGCGAGCGAACTACTGAATAATATCTGTAATATTATAACCGAGTTTTCAAGCTGAGCATAGTACTTAGAGTATATTTGCTTAAATATTTTGTAGCTTAAAGGAGAGTCTAGCCTCCCCCTGCTTCGCATTGGAGACCCCGTACTGGGTATTTCATTGCCTATAATCGTTTTCTATGTCTGAGGTATGTATGTAAAAGATTTTTCCCAAGGGAAATGACCTACAAGTAGGTCCTTGCAGCTACTCATCGCCTGGGTGGGTGGCCAAGGCAACCGTCAAGGTTCCGGTGGCGGCCAAGGCCATTAGTGTTCCCCAGAATGTGCATCGACCGGACAAGTCCGGGAGTTAGTAGTTTGCATCAACATCAGAACAGTTAGTTACATATATGCTTATTTCATGATATTTTAATATGGCTGATGTGTATTCAGTGCCGGTTTCTGCGGATCATAGTGGTTTTGCTAATGCCCTCACTTTTTATTCTTTTTAGGTGACAGAGTGTAGCATGGCGTGTGAGCAAGCATGGTGGTGGCGGTTTAGAGCTTATGGATATTTTGAAAAACAGTTATGAATTATGAACATGTTTTGAGAATTAAGTGTGTTGAACACATATTCGACCTAGGTCGTTAGCTTCCGCTTTATCCGACATGTTTGAGCTTATGAAACATATGTATAGGCATGTTCAATTCCAGTGATTCCAGTATTTGCATGCATGTTGTTATTTGTCTAAGTATGTGAGTAAGTATCGTAGCATCCCACGAGAATGAGAAAGTGTTTTCAAAAAATTTAGTAAGGGTTTTCGAAAATTAAAAAGAAAAATTTTACTCTGATTTTTATAAGTCTAGTAGTAGTAGGCGGGGTATTACATTATACATATATTAAATAAATAAATACATTAAATAATATATAGTATATTTATTTATTTCATTGATTTTTATTTTATAATTCCTATCCAATAAATAAATTTTGCATAATTTTTATAATTAAAAGTGGTATAAATTGAATTATTATACCACTTTTAAATATAAAACTTATACATGATTTATTTATTAAATATGTATTAATTACGATATAAGAATTATTAAATTAATTAAAAAAATAAATAATATGTATTAAGTTTTTTGTATGTTTTCTTTTTATATTATGTTATTTATTGGGAATACATTTCCATAATTTTATTTTTTATTATTAAAAATAAATTAAATTACTTTTTACTATTTTTACTTGCTTAAATTTTGCTTTTATTATTGCATTTGTGTTTATAATTTTAATTATATATTAGTTACGAATAAAAAATAAATAAAATTTATAAATAAAAGATATTATTTTAATAATTTATTAATTTATTTATTTTATTTATTTCTATTTCATTGTATTATTTATTATTTACTATACTGTGTACATAAATAATAAATAGTAAAACATATGAGTTTTAATATAGTAAATAAAATAAATAATAAAACATATAATATAGACTTCAATAGAATATATAATTATAATATCATTTATTTATTTATTTAGTAAATATTTATCTAATATGTAAACAAAATTTAATTAAAATTAAATTAGGTAAATAAATGTAATTTGTAATACTATATTACTTCGCATCAATTATCTTCGTCTTTTTATCGCATAACTGTTTCGTACTTAATTAATTTTGTTCGCTTGCTTGTCGAATAGTTTATCAAATAACTAATTCTCAATTTAACAATTTTCTTCGTCTGTTTGTCGTATAGTTTATCACATAATTGTTTCGCATGTTATCAATTATGTTCGCGTGTCTATCGCATACTTAATCGCATAACTGTTTCCTACTTTATTAATTATCTTCGGTCTGTCGCATAGTTTATCGCATGCACTTTATCGTATGTTTGCATGTTTTTTGCATAGTTGATTGCATATCTGTTTTGCACTTTATCAATTATTTTCGTTAGTAATTCGCATAATTGTTTCACACTTTATCAATTATCTTCGCTTGTATGTTGCATAGCTTATCGTATAATTTATTTAGCAATTTATAGGGTGAAAAATTTTAACTTATTATTTGACGGTATATAAAATCTATTCCAGTCTTCAGAGCCAGGTGAAAGTAGTTATTTCTTCCATTAATAAATTCTGAAATTTGACTTGTTAGAGCCTATGTGCAAATTATATCGCTTTATTTCTTGTACAACTATTATGTAGACTGTCATTCAACCTACAATTGAAAATTCCTCTCCATTATTTCTTGTCGTTTTCCTTGTAGAACATTTTGCAGGAATCATTTTTATAAGTGGGCCTATTACAGAAGAATATATACATATACGATGGGTTACTTTGTTTTCTCAGAGAGGCGATCGCAATTTCGTCAACAGATGAAGATTTCATATGTGTCACATTAGATTGGTGGCCTCCTCAAAAGTGTGATTATACTCCATTTCTCTTTTCCATTTTTATATGAATTACTTTTTCTGTTTGTGTGTAACTCTCCCTTTCTCTCTTTCATGTTTACATTCATTAATTTATCTCTTTGTATGTAACGCATGAATAAAAGTAGTTGCTCTGAATTTATTTATATATTTTAATTTTAATCTCATAGTATGATCTAGTTAAATATTGGAACTTTTCTACTCAAGGTTGTTGTTGCATCTTATTTAATGGGATCTCAATAATAAAATCCTCTTTAACGCGATTAAAGGTACTGTACATTCTGGCCTGGTTAATAAAAGCGTGCAGCGTTTTCACCGTTGAAGATCAGATTGTGCGGCAGTTTGCAAAACAAAGTCTTCTATCAGACTACACGCTACCACAGAAATTGCTTTCCTTTCAAAAAAGATGAACGGGAGATGTTTGGTTTCACTGAAGGATGCCTTTCGTTGGGTAGATGGGATGAGCTAAATTTGTTTTTCGCTAAATCTGGGTAAAATCATTCATTTCTACTTGTAAATTTAAACTTATTATGCAAATTCTTTTCAAACTCATTCTTGTTCTTCTTCGAATCTCAGTGCTCTCGTTATCTTCGGGTTGAATGCTCTTCGTGGAAGAATAATAAACAACAATAAGGCAACTGGCCTTTGGCATTCCATGAATGCTGATTCTCTTATACAATGCACAGTTGAAAAGAGTTAATATAATATCTATGGTTGGGAACTTGGTACGCATCAACATTCTCCAATTTTTTTGCATCAACCAGTTTGCACAATGTTTCACTTTTAGAGAAAGGGGTGGTGTGATTTGATGATCTCTTTCATTGAAAAGTTTTTCAATCATTACAGAAAATGGTCTGGAAATTTTTTTGGGATAAACAAAAAAGAAATGCCAAAATGTGATAAGGGTTTTTAAAAGGGAAATATCATTGATAAAATTGACGTAATTTAAATTTAATATAATTTATAGGGAAATCAATAACTATTAATTCTGTAATTTACTCGACAATTATACTGAGAAAATTGAAGCCAATAATATCTAATAACGAGTAACATATTGATATATGAAATATTTCACATCCTCATCGCACTAAAGATTTTTTCATAAAATGTTCATTATTCACTTCTCTCTCACTTGTTCCCTTCTCAATTTAATCAATATAGTTTTTAATTGAAATTCAATTACTAGTACTACATAGCTTTTTATAATTGTTTTTTCAACTCATGATATTTATAACCAAGTACTCAATATTATATTGATTTTTATATCACTACAACTCTACTTTTCAATTTTTTTTTTTCACAAACTATATTCAAACATTTTTCTATAACTAGTGCATAGCTCATGCGATGCACGTGTAAACAATATTAATATAATTTGATATAGCCATATTATGATATATTGGTCTAAACACTTGGTACTCGACCGAAGGGTGGTTCGAACCGTCGGCACGTCGATCGGATAACATTAGAGTCGACGCATGTAAGTCGACTCCTTGATAGTCAACCTCCTCTTGAACTAACCAAAGGAAGAGCCGACTTTACCGAAGTCGACAACCTTAAAGTCGACTTCGTGCATCGACTCCATTAAAATCGACCTCTAGCAAGAAGACGAACAAGCGTAGCCTCCGAACATGCACATGAATCCTAAGTCGACCTCGCGGTGCTCGAGGTCGACTCCCTACATCTCGAGATGTAGAAGGTGCTGACGACTCAGCGCACTTGCAGTTTATCTAAAGCCCCGCATCTTCTAATGGATAAGGGAGATCTTGTGATGACTCAGCAGTAAGGGGAGACGAACCGACCAGGCTATTTCGGACCTTTCACGTAAGTCGACCAGGTCATTTTAGGTACTTCAAGTAAGTGTCCTATCCTATATAAAGGGGGCTGAGGTAACCCTAAACCCTAACTCAAATTCATTCCATACATTTTCTCTCCTGCTACTGCAGCTCTCTGAGAGCAGCCTTCTTATTCATCTCTTTCACATGCTGACTTGAGCGTAGAAGGCTCTACGCCAGAAACACCTCCGGCGTTGAGTTCTTGTACGTGTACGTGGCGGTCTAGCAATGGTTCGAAGACGATTCAAACAGATCTGAGCTAAAAACCACTGGTTCACTCTAGATCTGAGAGTAGACCCATCATTTTGGCACCGTCTGTGGGGAGTTCTTGAAGGAATAAAGATCTTTGCACTTAGATCCGATTTGTTTCTGATGGCCAACAAGGAGGGATTGCAGAGAGATCTAAACGAGGAGTTTAGAAGAGCTTGGACAGACAGGAGACCACCACCAGTATATACCCCTAGACCCCCAGTGATGCATATGCTGGGACTACCACCATTTGGAGAAAGCCGACTCCCACGCAGCGAAGGTGTGTTCAAAGTATTGGAGAGTGGCTGGGCAGAGCTTATTAAGGAAAGCAGGAGAGTTGCAGAATGCCTCGACGACCTCACGGCGATAGGTCTCGAGGAAGACGGCCCCGAAGGGAGATTTGAGGAATGACTTTCGCCCTTCCTCGAGACCTCACTCCCTCTCGGACAGATTCTCATCCTTGGCCTTCTCAGCGAGACCTAACTCCCTCTGTCCCTTTTAAAGCCGACTCCCACGCAGCGAAGGTATGTTCAAAGTATTGGAGAGTGGCTGGACATAGCTTATTTAGAAAAGCAGGAGAGTTGCAGAATGCCTCGACGACCTTAAGGTGATAGGTCTCGAGGAAGACGGCCCCGAAGGGAGATTTGAGAAATGACTTTCGCCCTTCCTCGAGACCTAACTCCCTCTCGGACAGATTCCCGTCCTTGGCCTTCTCGAGCTCAGCACGAAGTCGCTCGACCTTCTCCAGAGCCGCAGCTTTCTCGGTTCTCATCTTCAAGATTATAGCATTGGCGGCCGCGAGGTCATCGTCCTTCTTCTCAAGCTCGAGGGCCTGGTCTTCACACTTTTTCTTGTAAGCATGAATATTCGAGTCGGGCGAGCTGGACTGCTCGAGCAAGGTGGGCATCACATATGCCATGAACTAAAAAAAAAAAAAAGCGAATTGAGTTAAAGGAGAGTCAGAGCTAAAAAAGCAGAATCGACTTAAACAAGGTCTAGGATAGTTACCCGAGAAAAGCATAGTATGTTGGGTTCGCCTGTACCGTACGGGTTATACGCAGCGGAAAATTATGTTTAAAAAACAAGTATTTATCGTATAAACACTCAACCCATACGTACATATAGCGAATGCACGAATCGTCATCATTTAAAAACATGTAATAATACAAATTTTGCTTTGTTATAAGTAAATTAAATTTACCTTTGTTCTTGAACTCCTTGAAAATTGACGATGAACGAGGAAATCAATTCCCGGTTTGGTAACGTCCACTTCTTGATGTTACTCGCTTTAGGAATCCAAATGTTTTCCCTCTAATCGTGTCCACCTTTTGAAATTCGGTTCTGTAATAGTTTCTTCGCTAGTAGAAACTACTCGGTTTTTATTCAATAAGTATAGAATATATTTTGAGCAGATTTTTACAAGAACTCTTTCTTGTTTTATATTTTGAAGAACACTTCTTCTTTTCTATCTTTTTCAACTCTTGAAAAACTTAGCAAAACTTGGATTAAAATGAACATCATGTATGTCCATATTTATACTAAATATTTTAGTATAAAATAATAATATTTGGTGGAATATTTTCATAAAATATAAAAAGTCTTCAAGAATATTTTCATAAAATATTCATTCTTGAATAAGACTATTCCCACTAAATATTGTATTAATAAAAATAAGATTAATTATGTAGAGTAGTTAACAACTCCAAACCACAATAATTAATTTATTCTTATTAATATAAAATAATAATTCTTGAAAACAATTTTTCAAGACTTTATTATTTTAATCTTTTGTCCCATCTCCTCATTTAATAATCATATTATTATTTGGATTTGAAAATTAAAATCCAATTTTAAATTTCAACTATTTATTTAGTAATTCCATTAATTACTAAATTAATATCTAAAAATACAATTAATCAATCTAATTGATTAATTTAATATATTCCTTTAATTGACATCTAATCAAATTAGTTTTGTCAATTAATTCTAACTCTTTAGAATTACTATTTGAATTTTACCTTCATTCAAAAATTGGTGTGACCTTTTAGGTTCACAATTAATACTAGTAGTGGGATTACAACTCTTTGTAATTTGAAATAATCTAATTAATTCTTATTCATGAAATTAACTCCTTAATTTCAAGAACCCACATATCATGGGAACATCTAGCAAGTAGCATGAATCTAGTATTAAGTGAATAGCGAGTAAACCTATTTCGATTACAAGTCCATACATGTAAAATCCTTTCGACATCCAATTTCCCGATTAAATCTTGGATATGATTTTGTCGAAACCCAAATTGATTTAATAACTATGATTCCATTTCAAGTTTAGTAATTCGTTTATGAATCTCTATTCATCCCACCTTGGCCAAGGACTTTGAATTACTAACTATGAAACACATAGGAAATTCACTTATTGTTATAAGTGTCGAATTCTTTGTTGGCCACTGACAAACTTCCATACATATTAATATAATATCCCAAATATCCCTTTATACGATTGTGCTAGCAATCAAAAGGATAAATCAAAGTAAAATATAATATGCACAAAGTTACCATCGTGCCTCAAGTCTAAGGATTAATCATGTACTATTGTAACATGAAAATTCTTATTCGACAGATAAATTATCATTAAGAATTTTCATACGGTCATATTCAGTGAACTTGTTCTCTAACAAGCACCCACATATATGTTTGCGTCCCACGCTAATGTTGATGGAATGCAACATTCTTGTCCAACAAGTATACATCACATGTGCAAGTCTTTTCCGGATTTATTCGATATCCCATCTCGAAACATCCATCGACTTGGAACTGTATTTAAGATCACAGCTTTCAAGGTATGTTCCATGATCACCATCTCTATGCGCAACCATACCTTATAGCTATATGTGATCTACGGATTTTATCTTAAGTGCAAATATAGGATAAATGCTTACTCTTAAAATAAATTAATGCCTTTTAATTAATATAATTCCAATAGATTGTATTTACAAGTAGAATACTTCCAATCTGATTGGAACGCCGGGTATCCTACTCTAACATAGTAGGGCGCGGCTGGCACGATCATGAGGATCACGGTTGGTGCGAGCTTTGTCGGCAGCAGGGACGATGGAGTCGAGATACTTGGCAATCTCGTAGGGATATGGAAGGTCCCAGAGTCGAGAAGGCCTCTCGAGAGTGACCTTCTCGAGATCACTAGGAGGAGGAGGAGCTTGTTCGACGGCCTTGCCCTTGTCCTTACTCTTCTGACGTTTGAGCAAGTCGGGGATCGGGGTGAAGTCGGCCTCATCCTGAGCGCACTTCCGGGAGTGTGAGCCCGACGCCTTCTACTGTTTTCCCGAGGACAGGAGCACAACCTTCGACTTCTCGGCAGCAGTCGTCTCGACTGCTGCCTCCTACACACCCAACCCCGAGCAGCCATCGAGCTTTTCCGGAGGAGTGGGTCGACCGGCGGATTTACCGTCGCCTTTGGCCTTCACATTCTCGAAGCGAGCAAGAACGGAATCTGCAACCACAAAATGATTGAAACAATTATTCATGTCGACATGGGAACTTAAAATAAGGGAAATATAACAGTCGGACTTACGAGGATCGTCGAGACGAGGAATATC